CCCCAAAACCCCAAAACCCCATGAGTATGCAAAGTTTTTCGTTAGAATAAATTAAAGTAAATTGATAATTCGAACTTAAATATTTAGAAAGAATAAATCATGTCTTTAATAACTTCAACAATGAGGTCTAGTAGAAATGGAGTAGATTCTGAAAAGAGCACTATTGATAAATCAACCAAATATATAAAGCTAAAGAAATCTCAAAGTAACTTCTTCAAGGAGCTTGTGAAGCCAGTATTTCAAATTCATTGCTTTATATTTATATTATTAGAGTGATATTTGCATGCCTGAGCTAGATATAGAAAAGGAGTTCACTAATGACCAAGAATATGAAACCTACTATAATACTTTTAATGTGACTAGTTTGCTGCAACAATAAACTTAGACTTTTAGTGAAGTGGATATAGTGAACCAGAGAGTGATGAAATCTGAAAACAGCGAGGAGCAGCACCCTGATATTATCAGATATGTCAATGCTATAGAAGAAAACATCGATTACATGATTAAGAAATACCCAGATTAAGTTCTAAAGTCTAAGGAGTCAATCAATAATTTTATTATAAGCTCCTAAACGAAGCAACTATTGGGGATTTTGAAATAAAATAGCGAAAAATCCTTATTTAAAAATATGGTCCTCTCATCAAGAAACATGAATGATTCTGTTTCATCCAATATGTTCTAATTTCAAAATAATAAGTCTGGCAGTATAAGCTCAAACTAATTTAATAAGATTTCTTTATTTTCTTCAACAAAAGATGACCCCTATGCTTTTCCTAGGATTCCTTAAACTACTGCATGTATGTTAGTAATGGGAAGTAAAAAACCAAGCAACGACTATGGCCTCTCTAGCAGAAGTTCTAGTCCATTAAAAACATAAAGACACTAAAGAGGTCCATCATCTAACTAATTAGTGTCCCTACAAGACTTGCTAAATAATGGAAATAAGAAATTTTAACGTTAAGGTACTCTTTCAGGTGCTTAATTAGAAGCAGAAAATGACTAGCAGATTAAATCAAGAATTCATAGTTAAAACAGAATTGAAGATTCAGCTAAATATTTAAAATAACATATGAAAGAGATCTTTGCTTATGACAAAGAAGATCTTATACGGCCTGTAAATAGATATAAACTCAATATTTACAGAGAAAGCGCTATTAACTATGAAATATCTATGGAGATTAAGTATTTAAGGGTCCAAGAACTGAGAATACAGAATAAATTCAGGCTTTTAAAAATGAGGAAGAGGAATCATCAGATCTAGGAAGAGATTAAGACTAGAGAAGACGAACTCAAAGAGATTAGGGAAAATTTGCTCCACTTAAACCACTTGAAGCTCAAGAAACTAGGAAGTTCTTCCCAATCTCAAAGAAGTCCCATAGGAAAAACTTTTGAGGAACCCCATACTCCTTTTGACAAATAATTCAGAAAACAGCAGTTGACCAATGAGAAGGAAAGATTGAAATTCGAAATATAGGAGAGAAATAAAGAGTATCACAGCAACTAAGAAAAAATTGAGGAATATGAACTAAAGCATAAACAACTAAAATAAATACTGCTTAATACTAGATCTTCTCAAGTAGAGCATTATGAAAAACTATTGGTAACGGGTCTTGACTTTCGCTTAGACGGTCTTACCTGGATCATTAGATCAATATGGCATCTTGGTCAAGACATTGATCTTAATAAGCTCCCAACATTCCTTGACATTCCATCGTAATCTTATCTATTAGAGATAGCTAAATTAGAGTTAAAAGTCTGGAATCTAGGTAAGGAGCATAAACAATTGATTTAACAAGAGATAATGCATAAAACTAAGCGAAAGCCTACTCTTATTGGGCATAATGATAATATGCTAGACAGAGTTTTAAGTTTTGAAAGACCGAAAATTATTGAGTCAACAAGCAAAAAGGAGATGATTAATTTGAAATCACGATTTAAGGATAAGAATGAGATCTTAGAACAAATATAAGAAAAAATCAAGGCTAGTAAATAAACTAGGAAATAGATAATTAAAGCCAGTGGTGATCCTATTCTGAATAAATAGATAAAAAAAGTTAATAAATTCTTCTTCTCTCTAATTGATGGAGAGGGCAAAGGAAGATGGGTTTAGTCAGATGATTTTAGCGAACCAAGTAGTTCAACTAATCTCCAAACCTTCTCACCTGCGTAGGAAGGTAAGAAACCAAACATGATTATTTAGACTTTACTAAACTATACCAAGCGAAATATTTAAAGAAGCAAGGCTAAAACTGATATTGAAACAAAGATTAGAGCATTAAAATAAGAGATTAAAGACTTTAGGATGAAAGAATTTCATAGAATATTTAGAGAGTTTAATTGCAAGGGCAATGGAAGTCAAAGTTATGAGAAAAAATTCAATACTTCTTTTGACACCATGCTTTTGGCATTGTTTGGAGAAAAGAGATTCAGGAAATTTTAATAACTAGCTTTCCAAGAAAAAATATAGCGATAAAATTATGCTGCTTCTTTAAAATTGTGATTATTTCTTTGTCTTAATAAAAACTGAATTTAATTGTATGATAGATATTTCTAGTCATGGGGTTTTGGGGTTTTGGGGTTTTGGGG